TATATATATATATATATACTTTTTCCTTTTCTATTTGTTTTATATTTCAGTGCTTAGTAATGTGCCACTGATTGTGCGTGCATCTATTAATCATTTTGAGTCTAATATCATCCCATAGGTTAACTTGTAGACAAGAGAATAACAACTAGGGCACATAGTGGCTACTACATGGCTAATAGGATTATGTCCCTAAGAGGTGGGGTGTAAACACACCGGCGCTGTCTCAAAAACCTACTGAGCTGCCTAGTTACACAACGTTTTAGGACATTATAAGCGCATTTTGGGGCAGCCGGTGCACACACCGAAACACTTCCAGACTCCTGAGATGGCCAAAGTTGCATGCAGCACGCGCCTTGTCTATGATTAACAATTGCTTTCTAGTTAGGTAGCTCACTTGATTGTGAAACACATCCGCAGACCGCTAGGGCTGAAGTCATGTGTGAGGTGGTGCTAGTTGTGGTGTGTAAAGAGGAAGCGCTTCGCTGACAGAGGCTTGGACACACGAAGACGCTGCTGCTGTGATGAGTGAAGATGTCTCCACAGAGAGTGTTCGCGCTGCCCAGACAGCGTTCCCTGCTGCTGCCCGCCGTCATCAACCCATTCGTGCACGACCTTAAGTTAACCAAAGCCGATAAAATCAAAGTGAGTGCTGCTCTCCATTTATGACATGCCTGTCAATATTATTCTTCACTGACGTCATTCAGGTCTTCATCGTATTAATGTATTCACTTCTATTTGATTTGCCTATGATCCGTTTTCCTTTGCATTGCATGAACTCTCTTATTTTCTCCTTCCTCGATAATTGATAAATCTTACTGGTTGAATAGGGAAAAGGACTAGCAAATGCTCTCAACAAATGTAGAAAATGTTTTATTAGTGAGATTAGTAAACAAATGAGAAATACAATTCCCTCTGTGCTGCCGAAAGTGTTTAAATTATGTTACTTCTTGTATGTTACAATTTTAAACGGTGTTACCGTTTTTGTAATAAGGGAAAATCACGCAGTAACGCAGTTCACAACACGTGGTAGAGAGAATGTTATAAATGTTGCATTTCTGATCATTTAAAATAGTTAATAAGATGTTTTTACTACAGTATAGGATATCAATCTAATAGATAGTGGGACAGTAGGGTATTATGGTATGCTTTTAATTGTTGAACACAATCAAGATCTCTGACACTATGTTTAAAATGAGCTAGTTTACATGCTTGGTCGGTGTTTCTCAACCTTTCCCAACACAATATTTGAGGTAACCCAACCCCCTCTTATATGCTTAGCTATTTTAGTTTTTTTTTTTACTATATGTCAAAGATGCTTTTTCAGACTATTTTGTTTTCTGATTCCAGACATTTTAAAAAAAGTGTATGTTCTTCAATAAAAGTATAAAAATATATATTATATTTACTTATTATTATTATTATTATTAATTTAGATTAGTATATATGAAGAGTTCAGATGCAAAAGCCTCTAAGTGCCATCC